GCAGCAGCAGCAGCAGCAGCAGCAGCAGCGGCAGCAGCAACCGCGTCTGAGAGCAATCAGGATCGATGAGCGCAGCTGTTGGCTCACGCTGTCTGCAGCTTCGGACCAACGAGAGAAGGCGAGCGGTGTGCTTGCAGAGCGGAAGTCCAAGACGATGCAGTGGTGACTCGTGACTGCAGATCAAGTTGGTGTTTAGGGCGTGGAGATGGAGCAAACGAGACGCGTGAGCGGCTCACGGCGCTCTTGCGAGTTGAATTACCTCCCAGTTGTGCGCCGGGCGGTGGTTACAAATAGCGTTCTTGTTATAGATGAGAGCCTTGTGAGATCGTGAAGCGTGTCGAGGTTTCAGATCGAAGGGGTATGTATACAACGAGGTCAGTGGTACAGAGGCTGAGCAAAGGGGAAGGCAAGCGATAGATTGAAATATGCGAGAAAAGGTGGAGGCTGAGTCCAAGGGCGGCGATCTGACGATCGTACCAAAATTAGCGATGGTAATTGATGAAGTCGTGAGTGCAGTGTTGTCTGCGATGCCAGCAATGCCAGCAGTGTGAGTCGTGAGTGTGGCATTGATGGAGATGATGAGGTGATCCACGCGGTGAATGCTCCTCGTCCAAGCCGACCTTCAAGCTCGAGCTCGCGCTGAACGCGTATACGGTGCCACCCCCGTGCGGGTCCTCCACGATCGCGCGGTGCTGCTGCTGAAAGCACGGCGGCATACATGTGAGGCAGCAGAGCGGCACGCACGCACGCACGCAGCAGCACGCAGCAGCTATATCACCATCGTCACGCGTAGCCACGCTGCACGAATCGAGTCAGGGCAGCGCAGCGCAGCGCAGCCGCATATGATGCACATCCCGTCAGGACATCCCAACGGTCGGTCACGTTGCGCCGATGGGGCTGTGCGTGATTTGATTGACGTGACGCGCCCCGCGCTTGGGATGGCCAAAGCCCGCGTTACAGTCAAGTCAGTCAGAGTCTACGCACGCGGCGTGGCCCCGCATTCGCCGCCAGCCTATCTGCGCGCTCAGCAGCGCGACCTGGTCCTTTCAAAAGCCGTCCGTCCGTCCAGCTAGGGGCTCGACCCACTGCGCGTCTCACATCTTTGTGAGAGGAGGCGATAGCGAGAAGTCTGGAGTCTGGAACTGACAATGATGTGAGCCGAAAGTATGCGCACCCCCGGGAAGCTGCAAATACTTAGCAGATGCGCTGCCTTTCTTGACGATGCGCGCCCTTGTGGGAAAAGCGCGGCCTCAAGCGTCCACAAAGAGGTCCACTGTCGAGATAAAACTATTCCCGCGCCTTCGGTCAAACATGTCGTGCTTCGAATCGTCCAGCGAGGCGGCGAGAACGCGAAAGCGGTTTGCCAACGACATCTCCAGGCTCGAAATGCATTGCGCTACACACGAGACATTTCGATGACATCTTATTAAGCAACGAGAGTACTAAGCGATCGGGACAGAGATCGTGACGACATGACGTTGGGAGAGAGAATGGCTTCTTTCAGTGCGTTACTGGGACCTCAGTAATTGTTGTCGTTTCCGCCGCTTCCGTACGAGTCCTGAGAGCGACGCCGAAAGTGTGTCAGACATGGACGCGACGAGGGTAATTAGACGCAGCAGGACCACGCTGTACGGCCTGGTGTACTCACGCTGTTGCCGCCTCCTTGACGTCCGCCAGAGCCGTAGCTGTCTGTGCCAGAGTTTCCACCGTAAGAGGAATTCTAAGTCGCAAGGCGATCAGGCCAACGTCAGCGGCGCGCTTGTGTGCGGGCAGCCTGCGATGTCCGTGCGTGGTCAGCCCGCATCGCAAGGAGAGGGTTACTCACGTCATTGCCAGAGCTGCCGAAGCCCCCTGAGTTACCTCCGGATCCTCCGAAGCTGTCATTGTTGCCACGACCGCCGCTGGAGCCGTAGCTGTCGCTGTTGTCGCGACCTCCGCTGGAACCGTAGCTGTCGTTGTTGTCGCGACCTCCGCTGGAGCCGTAGCTGTCGTTGTTTCCGCCACTGGAGCCGTAGCTGTCGTTGTTTCCGCGGCCACCGCTCGAGCCGTAGCTATCGTTGTTGTCGCGACCACCGCTGGAGCCGTAGCTGTTGTTGTTGTCGCGACCACCGCTGGAGCCGTAGCTGTCGTTGTTGTCGCGACCACCGCTGGAGCCGTAGCTGTCGTTGTTGTCGCGACCACCGCTGGAGCCGTAGTTGTCCGATGACTGCAACGAGATTCAGACTGCTCAGTCAAGTGCTGTCATATCGTGTTATTCTTAGAGCGACTCACGCCACCGAATCCGCCGCCACTGGACGACTTGTTTCCACTGCCGTAGCTATCGTTGTTGTCATTGTTGGACTAGATGGGCATATGTGTGAGCTACCACCATTTAGAATAACTGGTGAGCAAGTCGTCGACTCACAGAGCCAAATCCACCAGTACTGGAAGAGTTGTTACCACTGCCGTAACTGTCGTTGTTGCTAGAAGACTGCGAGTGGGACGAAGATTAGTCGATGACGACTGGCAAGTTCTGTGGAGACATCGTGAACTCACGTTGTTGCCTCCGTAGCTGTTTTGGTTGTCTTGGTTTCCTTGGTTGCCAAGAGCCTTGTTCTGCCGGGCCAGGTGAACGAAGGCAAGTAACCCAAAGTGGAGTTGAGCGGAGCGTAGCTAGTGGAGCCTGCGAGCTCGATAATACTCACGATGAGACCCTTGCCCTGGTCGGACTCGGCGAAGTCCTTGGCCTTGTTGATGAAAGCTGTGGAAGTCAGAGGCGCCTGAGAAGTCAGTCACAAGGCTATGGTGGACCGAGCACGTGTTCACTGTGCGACGGACTCACAGTCCATGATGAAGACAAGTGTTGCTATGCGAGTGGTGAAGTATCGACTTGGATGGATGCGACTGCAAGCTCAAACGTGCTTGGTTGTGTGGTGGGGGGGAGGGAATATGAGTGCGGGCATGTTTGCAGCTCCTTCTTATACGGGTAAGGACGGTGCCGTCGAGCCTGCCTTCGCACCTTTGTGATTCGTCATCTGCGTGAGAAAGAGATGGCATCATGACAGTGACTGTTGCCGAAAGAAGAGACGAGACAGCTGGCCTGTGCGTTGCTGCTGCCCCCGTTCCCTCTTTGGGCCTCGAGGGGTGTCGAACGTGAGAATTGGGGCGCCGGATTGGGACGACGCTCGAGCCACTTCGATCTTCTACAGCCGGCTGCATGCATGCACGGCTCAGTGGCGAGTCTACCTGATGATGCCAGGGGTTGCCATCCAGCAGCAAATGCCAGCAGCCAGCAGCGCTTCATGGTCAGTCACAGTAGTGTGTGAGAGTGTGTATACCTCTCAGCAGCATCAGCCGCGTGTCCGCATCCCAGAACTTCACCAAAGCGTGCGCGGATGGTCCGTGCAAAGGCTTGCAATTGGAACATGGGCGTGCATTGCCTCAAGCGGACTCCGCTCGGAGTTTCATCCTGCTGCTGACTCTGCTGACTGTTGCCGTGCAGCGGCGCGCACATGCAGCAGAGTCGTGAGTGGAAGCCTAGGCTCTTGCTGGACACAGCCATACACGATGCTGTGCGGTCAGGCTGGCTCATGCATCGTGAATCGAGATGCGAACGGACACAGCCTTCGTCTAACATATTCTCTCTATCGCGGGTCAGGAGCTGCTCGATCCTTTGCATTCGGCATAGCAAGCGCTACGCTACATACAGCAGACTCACCACTGCGATACGTCGATTGGCTTTCGTCGATCAGCGAAGCAATGATGATCTGGAATCATCAGTCCCAGACCGACTTTGCGAGGACCCACAAGCGGTGCGCCGCGCATCTCTTGCAGCGTGCAGGAGATGCCGCTGCTGCTGCTGCCCCCGTTCGTGATTACCGCGGTGAGGCTCGAGTAACGCGGCTCGAGCTAGCCTGCTCGATTGGTGCCCGCAGATGTCGATCACGTCTTGCGGCAGGGGAAAAAGATGAGGAAGCGTTCACGTATAGCTGGCATGCAAGCAGGTGGATGTGTTTACAGACGAGGTGTGAGTCACAAGCGTGTTTCGGCCATATGTTGCCGTGAATTCAGCTCTTCTGCTCCAATTTTGAAGTCCTCTGCTTCCCACATGCGGGCTAAATTGACGCACAAGCTCGAGACGGCTGACCGGCTAAGGTGTACAGTACGTGCGCGCTTGGCCCGCTTTTCTCGACCGCGCGCATGCGGTGTGCGGTGTCTCGGCAAGGATTCCATCCTCAAGTTGACATGTCTCGCTGAACGATGCTCGAGACTTGTACCTCCAAATCTGAAATAGACTCTTGACTCACACTCTTCTGACTGTACAGCTCACAAATTCGACTCGAAGTCACCTGCTTCATATGAAGATCTCTGCGTCATCTCGCAGCTCCCAGAGGCGGCGCGGAGCGTCAGTCGTGATGGAGATCGTCGTAATCACAATCACGAATCAAGAATGTCGTCGTATTTGCTCATGACCTCGTGATCTCCACTTTGCGCACTGCGTCCTGAATACCTACGTCTACGAAGAGTTCATCGCCCGCCCTCAAGCTGCCAACGCTCGTCTGGGGATCTCAATCCGAGTCGCGAACGTCACACGTATTCTGACTTCACCTGGCATCGGTCAAGCCTCGTATCGTCAGTCGTGAGTGCGTGTGTCAAGTCGGACTCACTCATGACTGCTGCTGCTTGCGTATGCACACAGCCTCCTGCTGGAGAGCAGGCGGATGCGCGCACAGCTTCTCACGCTAGACTAGGTATTGCATGGCGAGGACGCCAGTTACGCGAACCTCACATCGATTTCTGTCCGTACCTGTCTGGCCACACGCCAAAAGTCCTTCTCGATCACTTTGCTGATCAAGCATGGTCAGTCCTCGGCGTGCACTTGGGAGTGATCACGAGTACTCTTGGGTCTTGAGCTCCCCCCCCCCAATCTCTTGTGTGTTGGACGCCCTGAGAGAGAGTCTGTCGAACCTCAACACCACTACTTGCAACGTCCAGACACTGGCCTCGCTTCTCGCCATTCGCTCTGGACGCATTTGGCTGTAGCAGGCCTTCGATGTCGGTCGACAGTGTCAGTCTGAAAGCGACGCAAATTACGGCTGATGGGCACCTTTGGCGGACTACACGCTCCTGAAGTACCTTATAAGACTGACGCGATCAGCCTCGCCGAAGGCCGTCTCACCTTGTGGCAGCGGCGCCCGAGGGTTGGTGAGAGAAGGAAGTAAAGCTGCGATGCACTCTGGATCCACTTCGCAGCGCGTAGTAAGCTCAATGCCCATCTCCTCTCGTACTCGACCAGCTTCCGTTCAAGCGCTCCCTTGGTGTCAAAGCAGCCAAATTCGACAACGATCCGAGATCAGTACCACTCTCAGGCGGAAGTAGTCTGATCCCAGCACGCGCGCCGCGTGGACGTACAGACGCCTCGAGTGCACAAAATTGGGCAGAAGACTGGATGCTCACCCAAGCCCATCGTCATTCCTCGCAAATACATGAAGATGCACTTTCCATCTATCAGAGAATGGGGCTGGCGATGAGACCTCTGACAGTCTGGTGCCTAATCACACACGATGAGCTGCGCTGCCACATGCGGGGGCATCCTAGCAGCTGAGATGTCGCGCTCTCCCTCTATGATTATCTATGTAGCATTGAGAGGTCTAGGAGCCCGCGCGTCCAGTGCCGCATGGCTCTCCTTCCCTCCATCTGGTCCGTGCCTCGGTTAGCTTTCCCAGAGCCATACTACACTTTGACGCGAGTCTCGATGGGAAAGAGTATACGGTGACGGTGTGGTGAGCCTTTCATAAAGTGCGCCGTTGCAGCCCCGCCTCGCATCGTATTGGCGCGCTCTTAAACCTCGTTTCGTTCGCGAGTCTTGCGTGTTCTCAGAAGGGGGTTCTTTGAGCAGCAGAGCGCTGGATACCCACGCAGACCAATCGTGAATGTGAATGCCTCGATCGCACCCGATTGGCCGACTAGGATGTAAGGGTGCGATGAATGGTTGGAAGGATACCCGGGCCGACGCTTATGAGCACCTCTCTCGGCACAGCTTTCCGACATTGAGTCAGCCTTCCGCTGTTCCAGTAAGAAATTCGCGTGAGAAAATGCTGTCCGAGATGCAGGGACCTCACTGAAGGCACGGTTGGCGTGCGTTGCTGACGAACGAGCCTTTTGGACCTGCTGCTGCTGCCACTCACTCGCATAGTGGCCATAAGCCCACATGATGTACAGCCGTGAGTCAGTCGCCCATGCGGTCGCCTGACCGGCAAATCCAAAATCTGTACGCTCTTCGCGTGGTGGCTTGTGGCGCGTCTCTGATGAGCAGGCTGTCGGGTGGCGCGGATACTTATGCAGAGTTCACAGAAGCAGTGCGCCAAGTACTCTTCTACACGGTGACTGTTGTGTGTAAATGGCGCTCGGCAGTAGGGTTGCAGTCGGGCATGGGTAGCGAGTGGGACACCATAAGGATCGCTACCGATTCATGCTGTTGGCCCAAACAGAGGAGCCTCGGCCATACATGTCGCTCTCGGTCATCTCGGCGAGACCTGCAGCAAGCCACTCGACTCAGACTCTTGCCGCCTTACTTGGAACGTTCCTGGGTGCTGATGCCCCTATTTGCGCTTCCGCTCAAAGTCGAGGCATTGATCACGACCCAGTCTGGAGTGCGGGTCATTCAGCGCACTCGGAGGGTCTGGTTGAGCGTTGTGATTTCATACAGTACTTGGCTAATTTCCGAGGTCAGGTTGTTCTAGGCAAAGTGAAAAAGTCTCAACGAATCACTCACGAATGGTCAAACCAAAGTCACGAGAGATGTTTCAGCCTCTCCTGTCTCCGCTGCACGAGCTTTTACTCAGACAACATCGCGGTACGCTTCGAGCCGAGGCAGTGCAACCTAGTGTGACCCTGCTGCTGCGGACTTAATTGAAGGTAGGAGAGGTTCAGTCCGTAGAGCAAAGACCTACTACCAGAGACCATCTTTGACGACACTTGCAAACGAAACGGGATTCGGGCCAGACAGTGGCCACTGCAGTCGAAAGGCGAGTGGGGTTTAGCAGGGCGGTTTGGCGCCAAGGTACAATCACAATCATGGATCGGACTGCTTGGCAGCGACCTTTGTGCCGCAAAGGTCGCAACGGAGGCTTTCATGCAGCTGCTACTGACTAACTTGATCTTGCTTGAAATTTGACGATTTTGTTCTGCAGAAACACGCGAACATCGCTCAAATTAGAGTTGTTTAACGACTGATCGTGAATGCATGAATATGGTCCCTGTCACTTGGCTTATTCGGCTCGAGACTAGTCTAGTGGTGTGGCAAGCTGAACACTGAGCCTGCGCTGTAGCGGCTGTCACTCGATTATAGCGCAAACACTCTTTCCGAGTCAAAGGCGATCGGGCTACGCACAGACTGCTGCGTACTCACAAGCAGCAGCGGTGCCGCTGCATCGGCGGGAGCTCTTAGCGCACCTCGCAGCCCGTCGAATTTCACCAAAGACGAAATCATCGAGCGGAGTGGATGTCGGGGAGAGGAGGGATGATGGGCAACTTTGCCTCAACAAAAGACCCAATAGGACAATCAGATGAACATGGCGA